CGCCCTCCACCAATGAATACGCCCCCTGACCAATCAGTGACCTACAGTGCGCTGATGTCACATCTAGACCCTAGAAGAACCAGACCTGGGACCTCAGAGAATTAGGTCCCAAAAATGGGGTGGGTTCCACCGCTAAAGGCATTGTGGATAAAACACGCAATCGGCCACAACTAGTTACATAGGAGTACCAAAGGGCCCCGTGGATAAGGGGCTTAAGGGGACCTGGCTAGCTACTGGTTTTTCTACAGCGTGGAGCCGAGTTTCCAGTTCAGACAGCCTCTCCTCCAAAGCTACCATAAGACTACATTTGTTACATGTATCATTACCACTAAAGGAGGCAGAGGAGTAACTAAACATCTGACACATGGAGCAAGAGAAAACAGAGGAAGCAGAGAGAGAAGCAGCAGCCATGCTAAGCTAACGCTAGCAAGAGCTAGCAGAGCCAAATACACCAATAAAAACTGAGAAGTGTTGAAAGATAAGAGGTGTTTTAAGCACTATCCAACAGTAGAGAAACAACTGTACTAAGTGTGTTTGTGAACTAGAATGAAAAACTGTGCAAAAGATAAATCCAGAAAACAGAGACAACTCGAGCAAACAATTCACTCGAGCTACCAACAGACAAACAGGAAATGACACAATACGTCTCACCACAAGGAGGCACAAGCTTCACTTCACTGCCAATATGAACTCATTTCCCACGAAACGGACAGATCGTCTTAATGAGAGCTGTGGTTCATATTGACCTCGAGGTGGGACACTGCCGAGGAGTTTACTCCCAGGATTTTCCCATGGACATAACAGTTTTAAAAGAATCCTTTGTTTTAAAATGACGTTCTCTTTCAGGAGATGAACAGCGACACCTGTTGGGCGAACATTGCATGTTTTTCCAAAGCTTCAGAACTGAATGTGTCATAGAAAATGTCTGTTTAAAGTAACCTCTCTAAGATAATCATGTTTATTTTTCTCCTTTTTAAAAGAAGTGTGACTTTTAAAGGCAGACAGCAAAAATGGACTGTTATTTTATATAAAACATGACAGAGTTTATGAACCATATCTCGTCCAGTGGGAGGTCCTAAGTCAATCTGTAACACCCAGACAGACACTTCACCTCTCAGTTCTTCTACACCACTTCTTCATTACACTTCACCGCTCCTTCTACATGAAGCCATTTCAACTTCTTCCCTAGTGAGATGTCCTGGGAAGAAGCTTTTCTGCAAACGTCTCAGGATGAGCGAACCTGGCATTAACCTGAGATTTGAACCAGAATTCCTCGACACGGCAGATTGGTAAATCCCAGCTGACTTCAAAGAGCCAGTGATGGGACCGTGGTCCCTCCAACGGATGACCGGTGACCTTTGAGGATTAATCCTCCTTTTAAGTCACCCATAGCATCTCAGGTACCGCTGGCATCACTATAAGCAGTTGTGGACATTCTGACCATCTCATTCTGGCAGGTCAAGAGAACTTAATGCCTTTCTGGTGATCATACATTCACAATAATATTAATTTAGATACACCAGTTAATTTAGACACAATTTACCTACACCCCAACAAACCAGTCCAAGATTCTCCTTTTATAAAAAGTTACACTGAATTTAATAATCAAATAACCTTTGACGCAAGGGAATTTATTAATTTGTGTATTAATTTTTATGAATAATCTTCATCAGCTATATACATCAGAATATTGTTTTTGTAATAAAATACATAAAATTCACTAAGTGTGATTATTTTGGCATATCTGTGTGTATTAACTGATTTGATGCCCCTTTAAACACAGAATTCACGTTTCAGTTTAGTTAATTTGAGGGTTAGAGACTGACATTTCCTCTGGAAAGAGGTGGTGCCCACGCATAACGAGGTTATTTGCATAATAAATGCATGTCTTATGAGCTTAACTCATAAATTATAGATATCCGATAACAAATCCCTCTACACTTCTAACAAGCCATTAGAAACTTCTAGCTTTTAGTTACCGTTTTGCTACTGTGGACTTTTGGCTACTGGTCAGCTTCTTTTAGCTTTAGCGTCTCATTTTTAGCTTTTTCAAAAAAATCATTCACCTGTCAGTGTTCATGTTTTTTGACAGAAGCCCAACAGATAGTTTTATGTAGCCGATGGTTACGGGCCGCGTGCGTTTGTCCGTCTCTTACTGATGCTTGTGTACTTTCAGAACAAGCAGAACACCAGTGACCAGTCCCCCCCCACACACTTTCTGACAAGAATAAAAACCAGCTCAGGAAACATGTCACAAAGAAACTTTATATAGTTTTCAAGTATTCAAAACTGTTAAATAAGTACAAGATGTATTCACGATTTACATATTGGACAATATATGCACTGCCCATGTTTATTTCTCTTTACGTGTTTCCCACGCAACACGCTATGTCTGCTATCTATTGACATGTGGAGGGTTAGATCCACTGGAAGCCAGAGCACAGAGGGACAGCTGAGAGCTTACAGTGTGTGACGGAGGTGTCTGATTGGATGACAGAGGGAGGAGGAGGGGCTTACAACATTGATTAGCTGCTGGTGATGTAACAGAAAACAGGGTCAACATTCAGCTGATTCCTTGGTCTGTCTGCTTCCACACGTCACAAAGAGCTGAGAGGAGGACCGTGGCTCGCCTCTGCTCTCAGCTCTGCAAAACTCAAACCCCACGCTGCAGTTTTACTGCCCAGCACCAAACGAGCTTCATCTTCTGTCTGCACCATTAGCAGGTGTGTCACAAACCAGCAAAAAGATTTCAGTAAAACTTGCAGAAAGTCAGAAGCAGGTCGACCGACCTTTGAAGTAAACCTGCTTCAAGATGGTCAAAGCAGCCGTCATGGACTCAAAGTGGGTTCTGTTTACAGACGGAGCAGAACTCATCAAACATACACAGGAAGTGCTGCGAGGGGGTGACCAGCCATTTCCTGTTGGACTCGAGTGTCAGTAGTAAAATGTCTCAAGGAAGATGAAACAGATTTTAATGAAACTTTCAGAAACTAACACAAGTGAAGAACCTTTGGAGTCGATCCATTTCAAGATGTCTGCCTCAGGTAATCAACCTCACACACAAATAGTTAGCTTAGTGACATTTACAGATGTTGAGCTCAAATTTGGCGTGGTAGTAGCTGACAGTCAGTCACCGCACACACTCCAAGCACTAAAACATCAATCCATTTGTATTTTCAGCCAAAACATCCGGTCCTTCTCATCATCTGATGGTGAGTGTGAAACATGACCTGAACAGGCCTTTCATTTGATCTGCACTGAGCCCAGGTCAACACGCACGTTAAACACGAACCGTTTCAACATCTGGAAGATACTCGTGCATCTTTAGAGAGAAGTAATCAGTTCTCCACATCAGAGCTTTTTTTCAATGACAAATGTGCAAACATCTTAAAACGGTTCATCTGGAACGTCGTCAGTCACAACTTATTGTGGCCTTTCTGTGGCGTTTGGATCGGCGCCACCACGGCCCTCCAGCAGCACCGAGCACAAGAGAAGACACGACCTACACACTGCAGTGTCAGTGAACGTAGCCCCTGAAGGACACCTGAACGCACCATTTGGATTGGGTCTGCCTCAACGTCCACATGGGCCATGCTGCCATTTCAGAACTAAATAAAACTAGCTCTGCTTATTCAAGTTCTCTGTGCTTTTATTGTGAAAGGTACTGAATGCGTTTCCTGCAGGAATGACTGGGGAGAAATAATTATTCACAAATAAATCAATTAAATAAATAAATAAATTGCAAACAGAGGATTTAATTCTCTTCGAAGGCCTTTTTTAAAAAAAAAGATTTTTTTTTTTTGTTATTATCTGTGGATTTTAATTTGAAACAAAAAAACTAAAGCATCATGCTGACAGATTACCTTCTTACCACCCACAGACGAAACGTGTATCTGTTAGCAAAACATGTCACAAAGCACCGGGTGATGTTTTGAAGAAGCCTTCAGGAATAATCATTTGATGTACGTGGAGAACTGATCCAGCCTGGCTACAAGAGACGAGACGAAGTCCTGGAGAAATGTTGATGTGCCGCCATGTGCACTTTAACTGTTAGCACCCAGCGTGTTTGGGACTACCGGGGATTTGACAACAAATTTCAGCTCATCAATAAATCGGACACATTTGTGCTACGTCTGCAGCCATGTTGAACCACATGGACTAAAACTGATCAGTTCCACGTGCTTCTACTAAAACTCGTGTCATCTGGACAGGTTTTTGGGAGAAACGTTTTGTCTTGCATCCGACAGACCTGCGTCGGAGGCCTGCCACCAACATCTGTCTTATGACCAGCACCTCCTGGATGTTTCATGCTGACAATTGTACAGATAGATAATCTGGTATCTTTAGAGAAATAAACTCTGTGGAGTTCCCACAAACTGTCTTTACACGTGCAGATGGAAACCATCTGTCCAAAACAATGGCTCGTCATGTAGAGCGATCGTACGTTTCAGGATGACCTGAAAGCACGAGGACACCAAGGACAAAAAGGTTCACAAGATGTTTCTCCAAAAACAATCTGTCCAGATGATTGAACCTTTCACTGATTCATCTATCTGGATGATTTCAAACCTTTTGCTTTTCCAGGAGCTTCATTAAAATGTGCCCAGTGTTTCAGGAGACCTGTCAACAGATTGAGGAGGATTTGAAAGATCCTCTGGTTTCCTGTGACAGCACCACCTCACAGCCACATCTGTCCTCCATGCTGGATTTAAGATGCCAGAAGAACACAGAGTCCAGATCAGAGGCGGCAGGTACCAAACACATCCCAGTTAGCTCTGGAGCACTTCAAGTCAAGTGGAAACAATATTCAGATTTTCTCTTGACATTTGGATTTAAAAAAATAATATTAATGTTACAATTTGAATGTTGAAACTGAGAAAACTCTCACCAGTTTTTCATCCTCTGACCCAAACAGCTGTTGGACCACAAGCCAGTTTGCAGTAACTTCAAGAAACTGTGATTTAAACCAGTTCCAGCTTCATGTGCTGTTTATTCTTCCCAGTAAATCTCCCTCATGATTTAATGCTTGTGTGAAGAAACGCATGATTTCAAATTACGACCAAACAAGATGAACTTGATCAAACGCTAACTGCAAGGACAGGACAGACTGAGTTGAGAACATGGCACCAGGAGGACCACCTCTGGATCCACCTCTCCACACGGAGCCGACACACGAGGAGACAAAAACTAAAGGATGAATAAAAACCTGTGTGACAACCCACTGTACACTTTCTACATGTCCATGATGAAACAGAACAAGTGCATTATGGCTCAGCCTGACAGGAAGCCTCCGTTTCACTCTGAACTCAACGATGGAACCAAGAGGTCGTGGTGGTTTCTCAGGATCTTTGAGTGCAGGTGAAAAGCAGAGGTCTGCTTCAGGCTGACTTGTTGATTTTCAGCATTTTGACGTTTTTAATGACTTCCTTTACATCAACAACAGTTGATCAGCTGTTCATCTTTATTTACAGGAAGGTCCGGCGCTCACGCGTTGAGCCTCAGGGACTGATCCTCTCTCCTCCTGGAGGAGATATCGATGTCTATGGAATCTTTACCCACGATGAGGCGCAGCCGCTTCGCTGGAGGAAGTGGAATGAAGTCATCCTCAAACTCGTTGTGGAAGTAGTCGTCGTCGTCCTCCCCTTCCTCCTCCTCCTCCTCGTCCTCCTCGTTAGAGGAAGGTTCTGCTAGGATCTTATGGGTTCGATGGGCACCGTTCCTGCTCTCCACACTTTGAGTGACTCCTCCATTGTAGGACATCTGCTCCACCTTGGACTGGGCTATTCTGCGGGCATCGTCCTCCCTCTTCAGCTGGATCTTCAGCTTGGTGGCGTTGCTGTGGACCATGGGAGTGAAGCCGTTGTTGAGCTTGGCGACGTACGAGCTGCCTTTCTCCTTGTCGTGGTCCTTGCTGAACTTGATGCTGATCTTGCTGGAAGAGGCAGAGCTGAGCGTGGAGGAGCCAACGTGGTCGTTGGGGTCGTTGGTCTTGCTGCTGCTGCTGTCCCTCCGCCGGCGGAGGGTCAGTTTGGGAATGCCCGTGTTGTTTTCCAGAATGAGTTGAGCGTCATATCTGGTGATCCGACGCTTCTTCTTCCCCTTGTCCTGCGAGCGGCAGCTGCTTTTGCTTTTGTCTCTGCAGAGGTCATTGCTGCTGTTGGTGACGCTGCTAAAGTCCCTGTGTCTGTCGGTGAAGTTCAGCAGCATGTTTCCACAGTCTGAGAAGTTGGGGGCGTGGCCTCCAGCCGCCGCAAACGGATCGCAGTTTGAGCCTTCACATTTAATCGCCCGCTCGGTCCTAGACTGCGTCTGCCGTTTATGGCTGGTGCGCGTGCTTCTTCTCGCGTAGCTGGTGTCTAACACCGGCTGCTGAAGTCCAGCTCCATGGTGGAGGTACTCATCCATGTCCGCGGGCTCAGTTTTGATGACCACCCCACCAGGAACCGGGCTCAAGCCGTCCATGGCACTGGGCTCCAGCTTGACTCCAGCAGTTAATTCCTGGGCATTTACGAATGTCCTTGTGGACCTGCGAGTTCTGTAGGTGGAACCCTGGCTGCCCTCGCTGCTCTGAACGGCATGAAGGCTGCTGTTTTCCTTGGCAGCGTGCCGAGTGATGCAACCCCGTTGGCCCAGCGGCGCCACTTCCTGTCCCTCCTTCTCCTTCTTGATGGTGATGCCTTTACACAGCGACACCTTGGAATCCCCGAGACCCAGCTGGGCAGCCTCAGGTTTGGCCGAGGCTCTGGGCTCCTCCCCTCTCCTGCGAGTCCGCAGCTGGACTTTACTGAGTAATGGCTTAGATTTTAGTCTCTTTGGTACCCTGTTATTGTTTGAACGACCTTGTTTTGAACATGAGGTAGAAAGGGCTCTGGACAAAGTCGGTCTGCTTTGAGTCCTGTTTTTATACTTCAGACCAGATGACGACGATGAAGTTCTTTTTCTGGCAGCTGCTGAGAAAGACAGACGTATTCATGACTCCCAGTTCTCCTCAGCAATGATTACATGAAACACTCAGTGTGGCAGCAGTTGGTCTAAAGCAGCTGCTGGATACATGAAACTACAAAGACTTACACTGATGTGTTTTTGGCATTTCCTGAGAGTCTACATCAGTGTGGGAGCCCACAGAGTGACTGTCCGAGCTCCTGTTTCCTTCTCCGAGCTTCTTCAGTCTGTTGAGCCGCTTGTCCGTTTCCCGCAGCCCGTACTTACTGTTGATCACTGGCACCTCCACCGGCAGGCCAGCTTTGCATTTGAAAGCACCGGTACCTCGCCTGCACAAAAACAACATCATTATTGTTGAAGGTTTTGGTCAAACCTGGTAACTGACATAACGTCCTGCTCAGAGTAAATCAGGTCAAGAGGAGTACAAAGTGATGCACAGCCTAGAATGTAGTTTTGCAAGTCTTGTACTCAACAATAAGCTGAGATCTTCAAAGTGCAGCAGCTCATGCTCCATCACAGCCGGTCAGAGGTCGGCTTACTGCTACGTGGCATCTCGACAGTAAACTCACAGCACAGACACTTTTCCGTACAACGTGAGTGCTGTGAGTTTCCCCATCAGTAAAGTGAGCATGAAACAACTCACTGTTATGAAGCTTTGTTGAGATGTTTTAGTGCAAACCAGTGTTTTGTGTTTCTGTGCTGGACTTGAATGAAGCGGTCTGACAGCACGGCATCACCACGCTTCATTTCCTCTGAATGTACAAGGAGTTTTGTCTCCCACAGGTCATTGCTGCAGGTCTTCCCTCACAGGGTGAATGTGTCAAGAACTACCTGTAGTTGCAGGTGAATTCAGGAGTGGCAAAACTACAAGATCCAAGAAAAATTCACAGCTTGTGCCACGTGGAAGTGTCCTGGTTCAAGAACAGGGTGAAGCCCATCGACGTGTTATACAGAGCTATATTCAACAGAGCTGTAACAAGATTGTTTTCAGCAGAAAAAAAGCTTAAAGTTGAAGAAGTAAAAATATTTATGTTAAAGTAGAAATTTTATTGACATAAAAAAGTTGCATTGTTGAGAAAAACAAGTGCTATGCCAATGTCCCCCGTTGCTGAGGGGTATGAATAGTGAATGTTTGTAGATTTAGAAAGGAAAGAGAATGCAAGAAAACCTAAATGTTTTTGGTGTGAGACATTCACGTAGGCAGGAGTTGCACTGAGTAGAAGAATAGAAATAGTTTTTGTTGTTGCTCGTCTGAGGCAGCGAAGTGACGGATCCAGGGGGTGGCCAGTGGTTAGGCCTGTCGCAATAAACAATAAATCAATTAATCGCATGATTAATGAAAATTATCAACCTCATTTTCATTTATCATCTTTATCGTTTCTTCGTGTCTCTCTTTCTACTGAAGACACGGCTCAACTGGTGCTCTTCACTGACCCCTCCCTTTCTCTTTTCTCTTTAAAATCTATTTTAATGATCCAAAATCACATGTTTGGATCGTTAAAAGCAGCTAAGCTACGAGCTAAGCTAACAGGCTGACCTCGGGAATAAACCTCCGTCTTGTCGAGCTCCATAATTCACGGTTGAAACCCGTGCCTTGCTTGGTGTAAAAAGTTGTTTTTCTCTGCAAAAGAAGCTGAGAATTTGTTTACTGATTTTTTTTATTAAAAGCTTTGTGTCAAAAATGCTAAAGAGCTCAAACCACCAAATGTCCGTCATGTCACCATGTCAGCCCATGTCACGTCAAGGGTCCTCCCTCCCATTTTTCTTAAAGAAGACACGCTACTCAACTATCCATCCTTTGGTTCAAACAGCCTTATACTGCCATCAGGTGGTCAAAACACACCAAACAAATCAACATTTCTTCTAAAATTTGACGATTATTGTGAAATTTCAAACAATATTATGTTTATCTCAATTTCTGAGCCAAATAATCGCCCAGCAAAATTTGTTATCGTGACAGGCCTACCAATGGTGGCCCTGGCCAACAGATTTTTTGGGGGGCCACCCGACTCATTTAAGTTAACTACACAGTTAAGCAATATTATCACTAAAAAGTAGTTCCCTTAAATGACGGGGTGGCCAGATGAAACAAATATATGGTGGTAGCCATCTTGGATTTGAATGTAGGAACCTAATTTACTCTGGTGACCTGTCTCATGCCTAGATGCTGCCACACACCAAACTGGAAGTCTGTACAGCTCACTTAGTTTTCAAGTTATGCTCATCACATCCATGTTGTTGTGCAACGTGTGTGTAAACATTCTGTAGTTTTTGCACAAACCTTTCACACGTATAGCATTCACAAAACTCATTGTTTTCTCCAAAGAACCCATCTCCATAATAACACGAGATCTCTTCTCCTGGTTCAATGTCCCTCAGAACCTTCACGCAGGCCGTGTCCCGTCCTGTTGACACAAACTGGGAAAAAAAAAGAAGTGTATATACACCGTATACATATATACACACACACACACATACACACACACACACACGTATACATATATATATATATATATATACACACATATATATACATATATATATATATATATATACACATATATATACATATATATATACATATATATACATATACATATATATATACATATATATATATACATACACATATATACACACACACACGTATATATTATTATATTATATATGTAGGTTATTATATTATATATTATTATATATCTATTATGTATTTATTTGTATGATGTATTTAGGTTCCACAAGGCTCTGGACTGGTCCAGCTGTGGAGAGATGAGGTGGAACACCAGACCTGCAATGGTCCAGTCTGTAAATGATGCTCTGAAGTCTGGGAAGATGCACGACATCATGCTTCACCCAAACGAGCTCGTTACCTCGACCACATAGACTGAACTTCTGGAGGACGTCGTCCAATGTATAATAATGCCTTTAAACATTTTTATTTGTTGAGTTCTCTGCTTGGTACATTATTTTTCTTTTTTGTTTTGTTTGTTTGTTTAAACAATTAAAACATGACAGTAATGTCACTGTTTAAAGGAAACAATTGCTCAATAAATTAGTAAAATGCAACTTGTTATGTTTGGGTTCTTTCATCTAAGGTAGACATTGTTTTTCACTGTTTTTGGGTTCTGAATGATCACGTCTTCATTAATGTTTCTCATGGTTCGATTATGGGGGCTAATTGTCACACTGTTAACTGCTGTAATTACACATCAGTCACAAAAAACTCAAGAAAATGTCTGATAATAATGTTGTTACTGCTCTCAGGGATTCAGCCCAACCCTGGACCCCCCACTAATTACAGCACACCAAATGACTTTAAAAACGCCTCTGGGCTCCATTTTCTGCATGTAAACGCACGTAGCCTTCTGAAAAAACTTGATGCTGTGAAAATCCTGGTCAGTTCTTCTGGGGCAGATGTTATCTTTATTTCTGAATCTTGGCTCAACAAATTTGTAATGAATAATGACGTGGCAATCAATGGATTTAACATCTACCGCTGTGATCGTCAAAAAAGGGGGGGTGGAGTCATTATTTACATTAGAGATTCTCTGGTTTCAAGTCTTGTGTCTTCCAAAACAATTCCAAACCAGTTTGAAGCCTTATCTGTAAACATCACCTTGAATGGAGGCCAGATTTTAACTGTAGTCTGCTGCTATCGACCACCCTCAGCATCGCCTGAGGCATTAAATGCCATCAAGGAATTCCTTGGTAATTTAAAATTCACAGAGGTCTTTTTGGCTGGAGATCTCAACATTGATTGGTGTAAGTCGACCCCCCTCAGTGACAAATTCAAGGAAGGTTGCTTGTCTTTTAATTTAACCCAACTGATCGACTCCCCCACTAGATTAAATAAAAGCCATCCTGAAAATTCCTCCATCTTAGACCTGTTTCTAACTAATATGCCTCACAAATTCCCTGGTACAGGTGTATTCGCTGATCTTTTGAGTGATCATTGTGTGACAGCTGCTTTGAGAGATATTAAACTTCCACCTTCTAAGCCCAGATTAATTCAAAAAAGGGATCTGAAACATTTTTGTGAACAGTCATTCCTCTGGGATCTGTCCCACTTTGACTGGCATCGTATTCTGTTAACTGATGACGTGAACTCCACTTGGAACTATTTCCATAATAATTTCATTTATTTTCTGAACATACATGCTCCTTTTCGTCAGTTCAGAATAAAGGCACGAGACAGCCCCTGGTTTACTCCAGAGCTAGCTGACCTCCTGCATAGGAGAGATCATCTTTGGGCCGCAGCGAGAAAATCTGGCTCAGACACTGATTGGTTGAGTTTTCGACAGATGAGGAATAAATGTACAACTGCTGTCAAAGCAGCAAAATACAAATATTTCTTATCTCAGACCTCCAAAAATCTAAATGACCCTAACAGATTCTGGAAAACCATTAAATCTCTCTCAGGCACCCCCAATCATCTGACCTCCCATCACAACTTCTCGTTAACTCTGTTCCTGTGTCAAATAAGCACGAGATCCTGAACTGTTTCAACAAACATTTTGTTGCTTCTAGTTCTTTATTTGACAGAGTTACTAATGGAAAATCAGCCACTTCACTTAATAACCAAACTTCTACAAATCAAATCCCTCCTACAAGTCAATCCTCAGTTAATCACAGCTTCTCTTTTTCTCCATTCTCAGTCAGTGAGGTCAATAAACTGTTAAAAGATCTTGATCCTAAAAAATCTGCAGGTCCAGATGAACTTCCACCTTATTTCTTAAGGCTGGCTGCTCATATCATCACAGTCCCAGTGACCCACATCTTCAATCTCTCCATAAGACAAAACTCCATCCCAGACACTTGGAAAACAGCCTTTGTTCTTCCTTTGCTGAAGGGAGGAGACCCCACCTCACTGAACAACTATCGACCAATCTCTAAACTCTGCATTTTAGCCAAGGTTCTAGAAAAACTGATAAACTCTCAAATCAAAGATTACCTGGACTCATTTAACATCTTACCTCCACATCAATCTGGTTTCAGGAAACAACACAGCACAACCACTGCTTCACTGAAGGTTCTTAATGACATTGTTGAAGCACTGGATGCTAAGGATTATTGTGCTGCACTTTTCTTAGACCTGTCTAAAGCTTTTGACACTGTGGATCAGAACATCTTGTGTCATAAACTCTCAGAAATTGGTTTCTCAGAACACACCATTGGTTGGTTCTCTAACTATCTTTCAGACCGGAGGCAATGTGTTCAACATAATGGTACTTCCTCCAGTTATTTAACAGTCAACAATGGTGTACCACAAGGCTCAGTCTTAGGACCCACCCTCTTTACAATCTACATACATAATGTAGGTAAAAACATCCCTAATGCATCCATACATTTCTATGCTGACGACACAGTTGTTTATTGTCGAGCTAAAACTGTTGCTAAGGCTTTCCAGCTTTTGAAATCTGCATTCAACATCATCCAGACTGATTTGTTTCACCTCAAACTTGTCCTAAATGCCGAAAAAACCAAAGGGATGCTTTTTTCAAATAGGAAGTTGGTCCCAGCAGTTCTTCCTCCGATTTTATCCTCAAATGGTGTCCCCATTGAGTTTGTTGATTCCTATAAATATTTGGGTATCTTGGTCGACTCACATCTCTCTTTTAAGCTCCATGTGGAAAACTTGGTAAAGAAACTGAAAGTTAAACTGGGTTTCTTTTTCAGAAACAAATCCTGTCTAACCCTGAATGCTAGGAAACGCCTTGTATCTGTGACTTTCTTTCCCTCCATTGATTATGGTGATATTATTTACATGAACGCTCCTACAAGAACCCTGCAGATGTTGGATGCTGTCTATCATGGTGCACTAAGATTCATAACTGGCTGTGATTATCGTACCCACCACTGCACCCTGTATTCACTGGTTAACTGGACATCATTAACTTCACGCAGACTCTCTCACTGGTATATTTTCATCTTTAGATCACTTCTTGGTCTGTTACCTTCATACATCTCCTCCTACATGTCTCTGCGTGAGTGCAGCTACGGAGTGCGCTCTCAGGACATTATTACCTGCAGTGTTCCCTCAATGAGGACTGAACTAGGCAAAAGGGCCTTCTCCCACTCTGCTCCTGTTTCCTGGAATATCTTACAAAAAGATTTGAAGCTCTCGACCTTGACCTCTCTAAGTGTCTTTAAGAATCTGTTGGACACCTGGCAGGGTCCAATGCTGACATGTTCCTGTTTTTAGTTTTCTACATTTGTCTTGGAATCTAGCTGTTTTTTGTTTTGTTACCTTTTCCTTTTAGCCATCCTATTTGTTAAAAAAAAAACAAAAAAAAACTGTAGTATGCTTTTTTATAACTGTTTATTGTTGTTGCTGTTGTCTATTGTTGTCATCTTTCTTTGTGGAAATCAGGTCTCTCTTGTAAATGAGTCCTCGAGGCTCAATGGGATTTACCTGTATAAATAAAGGTTGAATGATGGTGTGACACATGGACTGGTTTAGATTTTTTGTTTTTACTGTAACTGACCTTCAAAAGAGCCAGAAACAGACTCAGCAGCTGATCCTCCGTAGAAACATTATATGGACTACAGGCCATGGATTATTTGTTTTATGACATTTAGTGAAGGTTTTTGTTTGGATTAAGGAAATAAATGTCTCTATTTCACCACAGATGAACTGTTCCTGTTGCCATATCTTTTGAAATAAAACTGCACAACACAAAGTAATTTAAACAGGAATGGGTAGAAGATCAAATCAAATTCAATGTATTTCCTAAAAATTAAATGAAAAACAGGAGCAGGACAGGAGTGGGAGTGATTCTGAACAGGAGCAGGAGTCATGTTACCAGGAGTGGGACAGGACAGGAGTGAAAATCCACTCCCGTGTCATCCTCTAGTGCACAGGTGTCAAACAAATGCTAATTTTTCGGGACAGGCATTTTGGGTTTTCATGAGCTGTATGCCATAATAATCAGTATTAAAACAATTAAAAACCTGAAATATTTCAGGTGGTGTGCAATGAATATGAAATATATGAAAGTTTAATTTTTATCATTACATTATGGAAAATAATGACCTTTATCACAATATGCTATTTTTTAAGAAGGACCTGTATATATAATGTCTAAGGGTGGCTGCGGCTGAGTGGTTAGAGCAGTCGTCCTCCAATGTGAGAGTTGGGGGTTCGAATCCACCAGCAGTCACATGTCAAAGTGTCCCTGGGCAAGACACTGAACTCCTCATAGCCTCTGATGTGTGTCCCATCAGTGTATGAATGTGACCTAAAGCGCTGATTAGTCTCTTTAGAATGATTTGTTCAATTAGCTTTATAATAATAATAATAATAATAATCATTTTATTTAAAAAGTGCCTTTCATGACACCCAAGGACACTTTACAGTAAGAACAAAGATCAACAGGAAAAAAGAATATAAAATACATAAAGAGTATAAAATACATACAGAATATAAAATACATACAGAATATAAAATGCATAAAGAATATAAAATACATACAGCAAAGTTAAGGATAAGCGAGTCTAAAGAGAGGTGTTTTCAGAGCAGTCTTGAATATAGAAAGAGAGGTGATGTTTCTTAAGTCAGGGGGTAGAGAGTTCCAGAGATGAGGGGCAGAGCAGGTGAAGGCCCTGCTCTCCATGGTGGAGAGGTGGGCAGAGGGTACATGGAGGTTTAGTGAAGAGGAGGATCTGAGAGAGCGAGAGGGGATGGAGATGTGTAAGAGGTCAGATAGGTACGGAGGGGCAAGGTTGTGGATAGCTTTGAAAGTGAGAAGAAGAATTTCGAAGACGATGCGTGATTTAACCGGGAGCCAGTGGAGCTGCTGCAGGACTGGAGTGATGTGGTTATAGGAGGAGGTTTGAGTGATGACACGGGCAGCTGAGTTCTGGACCAATTGTAGCTTCTGGAGAGATTTGTTGGGGAGGCCATAAAGAAGGGAGTTGCAGTATTCAATCCGAGAAGTCACAAGACTGTGCACAAGGATGGCTGTGGAGCGGGGTGTGAGAGAAGGGCGGAGACGGTTAATATTTCAGAGATGGAAATAGGCAGATCGAGTGACGTTGATGTGTGAAGTGAAGGAGAGAGTGGTGTCGAGGATGACACCAAGACTCTTGACCTGAGGCGAGGGGGATAGCAGAGAGTTGTTAAGGGGGATGAGAAGATTTTCTGATTTTGAAAGAGAGTTTTTGGTACCGACAAGAATGATTTCTGTTTTGTTACTGTTTAGTTGTAGGAAGTTGTTAGAAAACCAGTGATTTAGCTCATTGAGACAGTCGGTGAGGTTGGAGGGTGGGTGGGTGGAGTTTGGTTTTGTTGATAGGTAGAGCTGTGTGTCATCAGCATAACAGTGAAAATGGACACCAAATTTACGGAAGATGTGACCTAGAGGAAGGAGGTAAATGATGAAGAGGAGGGGTCCGAGGACAGAGCCTTGGGGGACACCCGTGGAGACGGGGGAAGACAGGGAACGAAAGGATTTGAGCTGAATGAATTGAGTGCGGTCAGAGAGATATGATTTGAACCAGTCTAACGGAGTACCTGAGATGCCAATGGAGGTTAGTCTGTTGAGGAGGATAGAATGACAGATTGTGTCGAAGGCAGAACTTAGATCCAGTAAAATGAGGATAGACAGAAGAGCAGAGTCAGCAGCAAGAAGAAGGTCATTAGTTATAGAGTTATATTAGTCATATAGTTATTAGCTTTGTAGAGATCTAGTAGAGTGCTGTATGAATGGGTAAATGAGGCACAGATTGTAGTGGAAAGTTTTTTGAGTATCGTGAAATAAGATAGAAAAGCGCTATATAAGTACAGTCCATTTACCATTTATTATGCTCCTACCATTTATCATACTGCAAATAAGTCACAGGAAAAACTAAACTATTAGTTTTTATTATTAAGCTGCAAAAGTGAAAGAAACATGCGGCACGTCAAAAACGAAACAGTGGGGGAGACAACCACCCCGCACCACTGCCAGCTATGGTGCGCAATAAGTTTAGTATTTAGAGATTAATATGTTTATAGGTTTTTATAGGTTTAGAGATTATTATTTCTTTATTTTAGTTTGTGAAACAAGGTCAGACGAGGCTGGTTCTGGTTCGGTCGATTGGACCCAGTGTTACACCATATTCTGTGACCTGCAACAGTGCATGCAGCACTGCCCCCTACGGTCACAATATACGGTGGACACAGAATATGGTGTAACACAGGTTCACAACGAGCTCCAAACAGTCAGGAAGTTGATTCATCTTTTGTTTCCTTACGGTAGTTGAACCAGAAGATTAATCTTTAGTGAAATATTTCCAGACTATTGATGCATTTCTACCTGTTTGTCAAGACTGGGCCTGCTCTGCTCCATCTGTCTGCTGGGAGGAATCCATTTTGTAGCCCGCGCCCGGTGCGGATCACGGAACATGTGACGCAATGACGCAACGGCGACGTAATGACGTCACCGCGAATACTCGACGTGAAATTAAAAATCTCAATAGATGTCCTAGAAATCGATGTATAGATTACTTGAGTAGTCTGTTAAAACCCTAGTGTAGTAGAGTGCAGTATGAATGTGGGTGTAGAAGAGTACTGTATTAATGTCTGTGTAGTAACTCCCTGTATGAATGTGTGTAGTAGAGTGCTGTATGAATGTGTGTGGTAGAGTACTGTATGAATGTCTGTGGTAAAGTACTGTATGAATGTCTGTGGTAGAGTGCTGTATGAATGTGTGGTAGAGTACTGTATGAATGTGTGTGGTAGAGTGCTGTATGAACGTGCGTGGTAGAGTGCTGTATGAACG